CAATCTTAATGAGGAATGCTAAGCAAAAGCCACTGAAACAGCTTTCCATTCCCATCTCTCTTTCCTGGGACTGCATTTCTCATCCCCCCAGCTGTTTGGAGTGCTGGAGGCCAACAATGGAAAGCTGGGCTTTATCTTTTCAACAGTTGGGCCACTCCTTCTTCCCATAGGAGCCTGATCTAATGCTCTATGAGAAGGATAGAAAGGCTGGCTCCTTAGTCCCATTTCTGACAACTCTGCCCTTGACAATCCTAGCTTCACAGCTGTGAGATTAGCTGACTGCTTGGAGATGCCCACCTTCTCTCTCTCTGCTTAGTCCTACTTCTCTTACTATTCCATAGATTTTAATCCCAAGGACACTCCCCAGTTAGCTGTGTGAATGCAAATCTCAGTCTTCTCTGAGCTTCCCAGGATTAATGACATCATCATTTCCCTCTTCAAAATAAAACAATTGTGGGACTTGCCCAGCAAAATAAACTTTGGCTAGGACAACTCATCCAAGATTATAGGTATACTAAATGATCATTTGTCTTTGGCTTTCTTAATATGAAAATTGCCTTGATTTAGTGAAATCAAGACAATTTCACTTTGTGATCTTAGGAAATGAGTAAGATGATTCCTTGGTGTGGGCTCAGCCTAGCATTCCTATCAGAATGTAGCATCAAGAGATTCAAGGTGATGGCATGGTTCTTTCTTTGGGTGGAGTTGCCCCTCCACGTTCCCGTGCTGAGGAGCTCAGCCACCCACCGAGCGTAAAGGAGCCTTCTGTTGCAAACTGCTGCAAACCTCTGTTGAAATCCCTCAGACCAGAAATGAATACCTCTTTTTTTTTCTGCTAGAGGGTAATTTGAGCAAATTTTTGTTTTTGTAATAGTGAATCTGAAACAATTTTCACCTCTTATTTTGATATTTTGAAGTAAACTTATATTTTAAGTGTTAGGGTTGAAATTGGCTTTTATCTGTTACTGTTAGAAGGCTATACAGCAACTATATTTAGGGCATAAAACCTCAGATAAATGGGGAAAAGAAATAATATTTACTGAGTGTCTATTATGCATCCATACTCTGTTTGGCTAATCCAAATGCATTATTTAATTTAATCTTCACAAACATTATATATCATAGGTATAATTCCTGTACTATATAAAGGTGAGAGGTAAAATGAGTTAGCAAAGTCATACAACTAATAAGCTAAATAATGAACATTAGAACCCATGTCTTCAATCCAAGTGCAAAGCTCTTCCCGCAGCTTATTTGGCTTTATTCTTTGTAACTAAATCCCATTTATTCTCACGTCTTAAAAATTACATCATGCTCATCTGTAATATTGTGATTTTACAGAGAAAATTGGGCTCTATTGAAATTTTATTTCATTTATCAGAAACCACTGAGAAATTTGTGAGATAATGAGAAAAAATTCTATCTTTTGCATCTGAAAGCTGCAAACTATATTATGGACCTTTTTCATTATTTGGTCTGTACTTGGAAAGTAGTTTCACTTGTGTGGAATGAGAATTTTGTTTTGAAAACATAATTGATTGTGTGGCTGGATACAGTTGTTCACATCAATAATCCCAGCACTTTGGGAGACTGAGGTGGGCAGATCACCTGAGGTCAGGAGCTCGAGACCAGCTTGGCCAACATGGTGAAACTCCATCTCTACTAAAAAAACACACAAAAATTAGCTGGACATGGTGGCATGCACCTGTAATCCCAGCTGCTTGGGAAGCTGAGGCATAAGCTTCAACACAGGAGGTGGACGTTGTGGTAAGCTGAGATCACACCACTGCCATCCAGCCTGGGCAACAGAGTAAGACTTTGTCTCAAAAAGATGTACATATTATATATATAAATTATATATATATGTATATATATAGTTTATTGTGTCGTGTTTGTGTGTGTGTATGTGTGCATTTGTACTTGAGTGTGTGCTTAACTTATATGGCATAGATTTTGCTTCCTGAAAGTAAATTAAATTAATGGATAATTAGAGTAATTTTGAAATATCTCATATACTTGGAAAATGATTATCTCCTCATTTTGCCAATGATGTTAAAGGACACCAAGGCAAAACAATGATTTTTCTAAATGAATGTGAAACCAAGGACAATGACTGTCCCAGACAATGAAATTCTAGGAGGAAGGGCTGCACTTTTCTTCCTGTGGTTTTCTATATGCTAAATATAGTTGATCCTATCCTTGATTGAATGGTAATGAAAGGAATAATGTTAAGAAGTAAACCCTTCTGCTTTATCATTTTGGTTACAAAAACCCCTTCTGAGAGAGTTAGCAGCGTGTAATCTCTAGATAATAAAATAAATAGCTGGGAAGAGATGAGCAATTCTAGAAAGTATGGAGAAGTAATTAAGCACATAGCTCCTCCCCTCTGGAGGGGAAAACCAGGGAGTTCAACACATCACTCACATCAGTAGACCCAGAGAAGATCCACTTTGGTTCGAGGGCTGAAGCGGTGTCTCTTGGATACACTGGACTGTTGTCAATGAGATCACATTTCTGCATATTGTTATCATTGCTTTATTTTAGTATCTTAGGGTCAGTGTGTTTTTATGTGGGAAAACCCTAGGTTACCCACTAGAGTCTCTTTTGAGTGGAGGCTGAGCAGAAGAGAAGGAGTTGGGACTGATTCGAGAGGGTTACACAAGAATCTGGACCAGTGCTCCAACAAATGGTTAACCTTACCTGGCATTGTAGCTGTTCTGTAAGTGCAAAACCATTGGTTTAGTTACTAACACAAACACTGCATTTTATATCAGATGAAGGTCGTGATGTCCTGTAGTTAAACTATTGGAGGGATAAGAATTTATTCTTGTGTGTTTACTTTATAATTTTTAAAGTGTTCTGTTTCATTCAATGTCTTGAATGTTTAATGTGACTAATCACTTCTTGCTTTGGAAATGAGCATGTTCTTTGATAAATTGTTCAAGTGTTCAGGCATATAAATTGGAAAGATTTAGATTCTTGACAGTGTGTGTAGCATACCAGCTGATGAAGGGAATCTCAGTATTACATGCCAAGCAGGTTCTGCAGCATTATGTATTTCCAGAAGAACTGGTGAAAATTAGCATAGACTTTGGAAGGTTAGCCTCCTCTTATTTCAAGTATTAAAAGTGTATTTAACTAGAAACAGTTGAGCCATCATTGAACAGGTGAAAACAATTATAAAGATTTACTTTGCACATGCACACCCACCCACAAGCAGTCATAAAATAGTATAAATTTTTCTGAAACGTTTGTGAAGATTTAGGGAAGCCGTTAAAATAACTATAGATGAGAGAGGGTAGGTAGTAAGGCAACATGGCCACCAATAACTTTTACCAGCCAGATCTCTCATTATGTAATTCATAGAGATATGTATAAATTAGCTGTGGTTTATCTAGAGACAGGTGTTATCATTTAAGTTGAACTGAGTACATCACACATTCATAAAAGCCAGATGGATGACATTGCTTATGGGAAGTTTAGTGCCAGTCTATAAAGGCCAGATGGGTGCCGCTTCACGAAAGGGTTTATATTGGCTGGCTGTGGCTGCACTCCAGAGAGTAATGAAATGTTCTCAGTTCTCCAAATAATTCCTCCATTCTTTATCTTCAGTTGTAATTGTCTGCAAGACTTTTCAGGACTGAGACTTACCATTGAATTTGATATAACCTTATACATTCTATATCTAAAGACAGTTGCTCTTTTGGAAGTACAGAGAAAAGATAAGGTACCCAGTAATCACTCATGCCAAAGATCATAAACCAGTCAGATTGTATGACGATTTTACACTGTTTTTCTCTTTCACTTAAAAAACTTTGGAGTTCCCTAGGTGCATCTAAAAATATATCAAAATGTAAAAGAATTTTCTTTGATGGAAATTACCCAAAATCCATTCTCAAAATACATTAGAGAATGTACCTGTATTAACATACAAAATCCCAAAACCTTGTGATGAGTGAAAAATCAAGCCAATGCTTAATGAGACCGAACCGATATTCCATCACTCTGTGGTTCCCTCATAAAATATTGAGTTTCGTGACTTGTTCTCTTTGCTGACTTGGTGGCTGCATTGGTTGTACTCGGTTTCCTAAAGTTTCAGTCTCATAAATTGTTTGTTTGTGGTGTTACATGATGATGTAAAAGTCTAGGCTTACAGCAGACTCTTCGAATTCAAGAGAAAGACATTGCAAGACTTTGTAAATATTCAAATTTATGAATATCACAGTAACGGATTATTTCTCCCATAAAACTTATTATATTCTAAGATCCATAACTTAGATTATTCCACATTCTCTTTTATTTCTTTTTCTAGCACTAGAAACTCCCTCTATTTTGAGGACTATTTTGTCACAGGAAAACAAAATTTATGTCACCTCATGATCTGATCTGCACTATGTTGGAAGAAGTAGAGAATAATAGATGAAAATTGAGTTGTGGATGATTAGGTTAGGAAGCATCATGTCAAAATTTGAGCTGGACGTGACACTTGCATCATGTCCAGCTCAAATTTTCCCCTTCAAAATTACTTATTGTTCATAAAATCAATAATGTTAAATCTGTAAATGCTGAGAGCTTGCCATGTTTTCTAACCTAAGATATATACATATATTTTTGAGAAGGAGTTTTGCTCTGTCGCCAGGCTGGAGTGCAGTGGCTTGATCTCAGCTCACTGCAACCTCCGCTTCCTGGGTTCAAGTGATTCTCCTGCCTCAGCTGGGAGTGTCTGGGACTACAGGCACCTGCCACCATGCTCAGCTAATTTTTGTATTTTTAGTAGAGACGGCATTTCACCATGTTGGCCAGGATGGTCTCAATCTCTTGACCTCATGATCTGCCTGCCTCGGCCTCCCAAAGAACATATCTTTACATGATAAAGCTCTTAAGGCTTTGTTTAATAGGTATCTGGTGCTTAATGTGGCTACGCAGCATTTTAACTAGTGAGAGAAAAAGATAAATCTGTCCCCATGATAGGGGTCTGTATTGCCTTCCAACTTCTCTAGATATTTCAATGTAGCTTCTCTCCATGCAGAATTTGAGGACCTCTGAGCTAAACAACCTGTGGAAAATTCTCTCAAGTTTCAAGTGTCTGGGACCAAGGATTCAGAGTAAACACCATGTGGGTTGTTCAGTAAGAAAGCTCCAACATAAAGGAGAAGTAATTCATTGCCAGACCACACTGCTCAGGGTCCTGCAAGAGTACTGGTGAGTCACATAAACCATCACACTTGTTTCTTCTATTTCTCAGAGATGTGGAGTTTCTTTGCAGGTTGAAATGTTGTAAGATAGTGTTGAAGAGTAAACATGACTCCATTATCACCCGCTATTAGGAAGCAGAATCTGTTGCCCTAGTAGCAATACCTCAGTAATCTTGGCCCACTGAGGTGGGGTCTAAAGCGTGCAGGACTCCAGTCCAATGTTGCCATATTAGCAAGACACAGTTTATCTTAGTGCACAGTGTAAAATAATAGGGTGGGACCAGATCTCTGAGATTATGGAAATCTGATCTTTTTAATGATTCTTCACAGAAGTAAAGCATTGTGAAATGTTAAAAATGTACATGGTCTAAATTCTTTTACAAATTATAGAAGTCAGCAACATAAGTAAAATGTCTTTTAAGGTCATTTATATGGTCTTGTTTCTAATTGTGTAAGTATCTATAACTACTACAATCATATTGTTTTGGGAAATTTTGTATTTAATACTAGGTCCTTAATTGGAATGATAATTTTTTGCTTGCTACGCTTATTACTGATTTTAGTGAGAGTATTATTTCTAAAACTTACAGCAGATTTGGATATACTAGAAAGGGCTCAGAGACATGTAAATAAGTAATTTTAGCATGAAGTTCAGGAGGAATTGTAATAGATTTTTCTTTGTTTTTGTTTTGTTTTATTTTAGTTTGGGGAAGATAAGCCTGTGGTTGTATTAATACTTATTCAAACCTCTAGATAAAATGGCAGTATTTGAAAACCATCAGAATATTTTATCTGTAATAATATGGATATTATCTGGATAATAATCTGGTCCCACCCTATTATTTTACACTGTGCACTAAGTTACACTGTGTCTTGCCAAAATGGCAGCGTTAGACTGGAGTCCTGTACTCTTTACACTCCACCTTGGTGAGCCAAGATTACTGAGGTATTGCTACTAGGGCCACAGATTCTGCATCCTCATAGTGAGTTTGGTAATGGAGCCATGGATATTTAACACCACTTGTACTAGACCTCTAACAGATTATTCTACAGCCCAGGAAGTACTACTGCTGTACCAAGATTAAACAGAGGTAACTACTGCTATACCAAGATTAAAATGAAACGGTTCCTTGACCTTTTTTTGCATGTTTGTATGGACTTTTATTTCTCTAGACTATGTATAATCACAAGGGAAGCCAATTTGTATAATTCCTCCCCCCCCAAATCTGATTTGACCTTTCCTGGATTTCACACAGTCAGAACAAAATTAACCAAATTTCAAGGGCTTACATTTGATTCCAAATACATTACACATTTCCAGATTTTTTCAAATGTTGTAAATACTTATGGCTAATTTGCTTTTGTAACTGAAGCAAATGTATACCACTGATAGTAACACCAAAGGAATACTTTAATTTATTAATTAGAATGTTTATGGCTTATTTAAGGCTGGTGCTTCGACGCAAGCTAAGGCAGTGATCTGTGAATTAGTTTCTGTTTGTGAAGGAAGAATTGCTATGGATATTTAAACAGGATTTAAATGAAAGAGAAAGTTCGCTGGCTAAACCAAAGCATTACAACATTTTAGTGAAGTTTGGATTTTGTTTCACATTCCAAACTCACAAATGAATTTCCCCAAGCATGAAAGGCAGCAGATGAGAAGGCTGAGAAGGCTCAAAAGAATGCAGTCAATGCAAACTCAAGTGCAGCCCTGCTTTCCATAGAGCTGCCACCATTTCACTTTAATCTCTATTTCCTGAGTTCGATCATGATTTCTTTTGTGGTCACCTATAACTAGAAAAGTGAAAAGGATGACAGAGAACTGTTAAGTTGTTCTCTCAATAGTTGCATGAAAGAGCATTCATTTTGGCTCAAGACACTGGAGGAGAACTTGAGGAAGGAACCAAGGCAATTCCTTTTCCACAATTTTGTTCCAAAAAATTTCTCAAGATTGAAATTGATTGAGAAGTCTCAGACTACTTTAGCACTTTGGAAGATGGACTCAACATATAGCCCTGATAGGGTCAATTTCTCATTCTCGGATCTGATCTCATTTAGATCATCTTAACCAGAGATACAGAGAGAGGATGAGAGAAGACCTAGACTAAATCTCTGTTATACCTACAGAATTTCTTTCTTTGATCTTTGGCTTTAAGAAGACTGACAGCTCAGCTCAAACTCAAGTTGGGGTTAGAGAAGCTCTTTAGTAAGCAGGGTATCCGGGACAACACTGCAAATGACAATATGCATTTTTGAAGGCTCCTTGGCCATGCCAACTTTCTGTAATTTTCATTTAATTACTTACCAGTCCCAGCAGCTAATGCTTTTCTTTAGGCTGAAAATGAGTGTTTTGCTGGTGTTGTAATAGAACTTGCACATTAAATCTTTGCAACTGATAGGAAAAAGTATAGCAGATAAGAACAGAGAAACTTACAGGAGTAGGTAGACTTAGTTATTGGGGAATCAAAATACAAAGAAGGAGGGATAACATTGAGCCAGGACAGACGAAGGTTGCCATCCACGTGCTCATTAAATATGACATGGAAAGCACAAGTGACTCCCAGCTGTGTGCTGCCAAGTAAATGATACTACAGGCAGGAGAAATCCTGGATTGCAAAATCACTCCCAAAGATATACACAATAAGAATAAAATTGGTTTGAATTTTCAAAATCTGCTCCCCAGAGATCTGACAAATATGATGGCTTTATAAAAGTTATTCAATTATATTATATAATTACAGTATAATTAATATGGCAGAACTTAGAAAATGATTATACATCTGTGCATTGCTTAATGACAGGTACATTCTGAGAAATGTGTTGTTATTTTGGATATGTGTAAAATTTTGTCGTTGTGCAAACATCATAGGGTGTATTTACAAAAACCTAGGAGTATAGCCTACTTTACACCTAGGCTATATGGGATAGCTTATTGCTCCTAGGCTACAAACCTGTATAGTACAGCATGTGCCTGTACTGTATACTGTGGGCGATCGTAACACAATCATGAGGATTTGTGTTACTGAACATATCTAAACATAGAAAAGTACAGTGAAATATGGTATAAAAGATTAAAAATGGCATATTTGTATAGGGCACTTATGAGTAGCACTTGAAGGACTACAACATTTTTACCTTATAAACTTTAATTTTTTCAAAGCTTTTTGACTCTTGTAATAACACAGCTTAAAACACAAGCACATTGTACAGCTGTAATAATATTTTCTATCTTTATAAGTTTTTTTCTATTTTTACAACCATTATTTTTTACTTTATAGATGTTTTTGTTAAAAAAAAAAGACATAAGCACACATGTTAGCCTAGTGTCAGGGTCATCAATATCACTGTCTCCCCTGCTCCACATCTTGTCTCACTGGAAGGTCTTCAGGGGCAATAACATGCATGGAGGGGTCCTCTCCTATGATAACTACACCTTCTTCTGGAATACTCCTGAAGGACCTGCCTGAGGCTGTTTTACAGTTAACTTTTTTTTTAATAGGCAGAAGAAGTATACTCTAAAATAATGATAATAGAATAGTATTGCAAATATGTAAACCAGTAACACCGTCATTATCAAGTATTATGTACATAACTACTGTACATATTTGTATATGCTAAGACTTTTATTTGATTGGCAGTGTGGTAGATTTGTTTCCATCAGCATCACCACAAACATGTGAGTAATGAATTGCACTGACACTAGGTGATAGGAAATTTTCAGCTCCATTATAATCTTAATAGTCTATGTGTTCCATCATTGAAATGTCATTATGAGGCACATGATTGTATTCTTTTTGGTGAATTAATGCAACTTATAAAAAATGCATCTGGAAGAACAAAATTCATGAATATCAGTCTTAGATGTATAGCTCTTTTCATCTCTGGTTCTCCAGAAAATGGAGCCTTTGAGAAAGCTTACATACTCAGGCTTTATTGGTAAATACAATCTCAGGGAGGCAGGAATGAAGGGGAAAAGCAAGGCACGAAGGAGGAGTTGCAAACACAGGTACATAGCAAGCTGGCCATAGTGTTAGCAGAAAAGTAGCTGATTGCTTGGTTCGGTGCAGTATTTTCTAGGCAGTTGTTGCCCTAGAGTAGTCCCTTAGAGCAAAGGCGGGCAACGTTTTTCTGGAACGCATCATAAAGCAAATACATCAGTCTTTGCAGGGCATATGTTTTTCATCACAATTAGTTAATTCAGCTACTATAGCAGTCATAGACAATAAGTAAATACATGGGTATGGGTGGGTTCCAATAAAACTTTATTTATAAAAATAGGAGGGGCTCCAGATTGGCCCTGTAGCAGTTGTTTGATAATCCCTGTCCTAGAGAGAAAAGGAGAAAAATTTATTTGCTTTTCCTTCTTGTCTCTCCTCTCTCACTGGCCAAAGTTCACCCAATGAGGCATTATACTTTTGGATTTTGTTATTTGCTCCTCCAGAAAAATCACTTAGGAAACAGATCACACATACCACAGTGTAGGGCATCATTTAAGCCTGGAAGTGTTGAGGAATTGTAGATTTATAGGTCCTTTCAGTTTGGACCTGGTGCCAAGAGCCAATGTTGCTGCCACTGCTGTAGCAGAGACTGAGATGCTGATAGTGTGGGGACTAGGGACAATGGTGATGGCTCAGGTTGTCCACTAGAACAAGCAGCCACAGGCTGGAGACTGGGACCTTGGTGGGGCTGATCCCATCTGGGGAACTGCCTGAACTGGATCTGATAATGCATCCCATTCAAATAAGGACTAAAATGCTCTACACAGGAAATACAAGTGACAACAGCAGATTGAAACACATCTGGCCTGTCCTTTGCTGAAAAGTTGTTAAATTACCACCACTGTAAGACCATGAAAGGCATTCTCTGGAAAATTGCTAAAGGTATTTTCCTCATTTCTTAATGACTGAGCCTTAAATTGATACTGAGAAGATTGGGATGTAAGCAACATTTAGGGATAAGACCCACAAAAACATAGCTGTTCTCCCCAGGTGACCCTTTGGGCTGCTA